GCGCGATCCCGATATCCCCAATATCAGTGGCTAACATGATAACCAGATAACTTCTTGCCCGGTTAGCTCAATCGGTAGAGCGTGAGACTCTTAGTATTCTCGTTTACGAGGAAAAACGGCGTCATCTCAAGGTTGCGGGTTCGACCCCCGCATCGGGCTAGTGGCTCTCCTTTTTGCGCGCCGGGAAGGGCGTATATACGGGTCGCAAGGACGATGAAACAACGTGAATCTACTGGGTTTACATTTCTTTTTTTAACGATTACCCGCCTAGTGCACCCGCACCATCCAGCCGCTCCTGCCGCCAAGTGCCTAGACCGATGGCCAACGAGGCAGGGTTGCATGCTTCTTGGCCAGCTGAACCGTATAAATAGGCAGCAAGAAAACATACTGGGTGTACATGTGCCCCTCCCTTCATGGAACGAGTACCCGTAGAACTGTGGACGAGCATCCTCGAATACGCACTATATACACCTGGACTAGCATCGGGCTATTTCATACGACAGCAACAGCACGACGGCAACGAGGAACGAACCAGGTCCGAACAGGTCCGACAGAGTCTTCGTGCCGTGTGTAGAAACTGGCAACGGTTCGTCGACAGTTTCACCGGTGGCTGGCTCAACGTCGATCAGAATGGGCACACGACAGAGGTCCAGACGAGACGCGCGACACGCATCGATGTCCGAAACGGCAGACAATTCGTGTTTCCAGCCGTGTGTGATACGCGCATCTTGAGCGTCAACACCCCAACCGTGTGCATCGATTCGTTTTTGGCCACCCACGGCACCTGTTTTCCCTTTGTCCAGGTTCTCGACCTTCGACCCGCCTCGTCCATTCTCCGTCTTCATGCCGGTGTCTCTGCTACTACAGAGTTTTTCCCCAGGTTGGCAAACCTGTTCCCCCGCCTCTCGACACTCTCCATCACCCTCCCTGCCGCACTCCCTACCACTGCCGCTACCCCTCTTCAACCCGACCTCGTCACTTTTCCCAACCTCACCCATCTCTCTTATCATGTTGATGGCACCGCGAGGCTGAGCGACACGAGACGATGCGATCGAATCGCCGATTGGTCCCTGCCGATACTCTCCCATCTCGAAATCCGTCCAATCGCATCCACAAGAGACTGGCAGCTCGTCAAGGCTGGGATTTCGAGCTGGGGTCGCGCGCTCACCTCGTTCTTTTGGGACGCAGAATACCCCGACCAGACGGGGATCGAAATCACGAAAGACGACGTCGCGCTTCTCTCTCGAATCGAGCGTGTCCATCCGGGAAAGACCACTACGAGACTCTCCCTCAACAAGTCTGTCCCCTTGACGGATCAAAGCGGGTTCACCTGGCGTCCCAACAGCGTTCGCGTTCACTAGTCTGGCTTCCATATGTTCGTCCTCTCTATAAATACTCCTTATGCCTATGACCCTCGTGTATCGCTTGATAATTATATATCGCTTCCTCTGTGCGTCGTCTGGTCTTTATCCGTCTTTTTCCTACCATGTCTCTTCATCGGGTCCAAGTGGTGAATGCGCCTTGGACGCTGCATCGACCACTGTCAGAGCTGACTCTGCCCAACAGGGAGCGTCACCCTGTTTATTCTCGCTGTCCACCAAAGTAACCTCGTACAATTGTGCAAAAGTGCACGTCGGTCCGTCGCGGTCCCCAGCAAATCGATCCAACCCGCCCTCAACGTTATCCCTATTTCGGGTACACGAATACGCAAATACATCCCTCCTGTCCTATATAGAGCTCAAATATCTCCTTAAACTTCCCTCGTAACTCGTCCAAATATCGTGCTAGTTATTTTCGACCTTCTGTCAGGTTTCTCGTACATTTTCCAACGGAAACCTCCCCTCGGAGGAATCCACTCTCTATGACGCCAAACGAATATCCTCTCAAGCCACTCTTCTTCCGTAAAGTGGTCCTTTGAAAGCCGGGGTTTCATTCATCGTTCCCACCAGAGTGAAATCGACCCTCGGTTCCCGTCGCAGACGACAGACGACAAACTAGTCATTATCCGGATTGCTTCACCTCTCCTTGGGTCTCTACATCATGCAGAATATTGTTGCGCATCGCGATTCACAGCGAGGATGGAATCCATCTCGAGGATCGTTGAAAAGCTCATTCTACACCCATCAAGGTATGTCCATCTCAAGTTTTTAATCCGATCCACGGCGATCCATGGCCGTATTCTCCTCCTAGTCCTCCTCTTGGTCAAAACTCATTCTTTTGGCAGACAGAACCAAATATACCACCCTTTCTCGTGCCGCTATCGATGCTTTGAATAGCTTACTTCTTGTATATGATGGTGCCCTCGAAAGAACCTCCAGCTTTTGGCCTCTATTCACAGTATATTGACAGTTCATCCGTGCATCCTCGTTATCAGACCCGGTGTCGTCGCTTTCTCGTCAAAGAAGAGTCGACCTCTGAGCGTCATCGGTTCCTGTTTATCAGCATGAGCATACCTTGGCGCATCAGCCTGTCGGTGAATGAAGATTGCTGTGGTCGCACCGGTCAATCCAACTTGGTGTCACGGCCGTTTCAGTCCCGTTCATCCCCTCCTTCAACCGAGGCGAGCGCGACTGTCCCGAACCCACCAACCGTCGAGAAGACGGACCGGAAATCGGCAAGACGTATCAAGTGCTCAATCTCGACGCCATCCTCCCAGAGGAACCGCTACCGGGGGAAGAGGTGCGAAATGAGGGCCCGAGATCTACAATCGAGCGAAGACGTCTTCAAGAACACACATGCCGAATCGGGGAATTCTTGTTCGAACCAGAGGCATAGAGTAACGTTGGTGTTCGGTGTAGATCGCTCAGATGAGACGAGGTGAGCACTGTCTTGCGATAGTTCTACGAGCCTCTAACTTAGTTCGGCGAGGATTATGCTGTACAGGACGAGGGCAGTAAATGGCTCTGCCAGAGGGTGCCCTATTCCTGTCCCACACGTGGATTTTCCCACCCACTGAGCTGACCTATGGTGCGGTGTGGCGACCATCCGGGAAGAATGCCAAAAGAAGAAAAAGTGTCGTTATGGCCTGGCAGGGAATCTCCTCTTGGGCGGCCATTTTTCAACATCCCACAGGGAGACTGTGTTGTCCGATAGTCTGGATACGAATCGATGTCCATCTAAGGAGATGCTGCAGACACCACAGAGTTGATGTGGCGTCGCAGTGGCCCTCTCAACGTCTGTCCTGTTTTGGCATCCCACAGATGGATCGTATTATCCGATGGGTCGGATACAATCTGACGACCATCAGGGGGGGATGCCATAGACCAAACCGCTTCAATATGTCTTCGCAGCGGTTCTCCCAACTCTTTGCATGTTTCAGCATCTTACAGACGGATATTTCCGCCCTCTGTGCTAGATACGATGCAACGACTGTCCGGGGGAAATGCCACGTAATAGACGGGGCCAGCGTGGCGTAAAGTCGCCCTCTCAGTAACCTAATGTGCCTCGGTATGCCACAAAGATGGAAGGACCGTCTGGGGAGAATACCATGATAAACAGGACCACTGTTGCCTCATAGGGGCTCTCCTAGTGCCTGCCCTGTTTCGGTATCCCACATGCGAACCTTCCCGTCCTGTGAGCAAAGTTTAACGTGGCCAATATTTAGAGCAATCGATATCACCTATGGAAATGGCTCTTTGGTTGTCTATCGGACACGCGACCGTCTCAATGCAGAAAGCATTGCAAAACTATAAATACGAAGAATGTTTTCGGAATTTGTGTTGCAAGTGCTATCAGAAATCACCTGATATCGTTCGTTCTGCTATCGGCGCACCTATCTATATACGAATCCCTTCTCGACTGAGCGTACAACGGACGTCTTCCATCGTTCGTACTGCCTGTTTGACCAAAACCCGACACGAGGCAAGCCTTCAAATTCTTCGTCAAGGACCATGTATTGTTCCGTACCCTCTCTAAATACCGGTAATGGCTCTGTGCACCTTTCAATTTCAAGACTTATATTCCGATATCCAGATCATGAAGCTTTTGACCGCCAAATCACACCGTCTTTTAGATAGTCACCAAATTATCACGCCACCAAATCGCTGGATACGTGACAAGATTTCCTCCCTCTCCTCCCTACAGAAAGTCTCTCTCCCATCATGGCCATCCCAAACCTCCTAAGACCCTGGTCCATCGTTTCACAACCAAAATACAGATTCCTTTGTCCTACTATAATGGCGCGAAAGCCTACGCTTTGTCCATAGGGCCTCGATAAAGGAGAAATTGGGGCATTTCCCTGTTATGCACAATGAGATTAGCAGGGGGTTCGGATATAGTAGATGGAGTACGTCAATTCAAACTATTAGAAGCGCGTTCATCCTGACCTAAACCCAGTTGTCAGCTCACCAGACGCAGCTGCGAGGACAATCACCACTCAAATTTGGCTACAGCACCCACCATTAGCTCACAAGTCACTACACCGAGTCGGATGAGCCAAACTAGTGTAATCCTACTGGATCAAACCGATCAGTTCACAGCTGCCATGCATAAGCTGCCGACCGACAACCCCATGATCTGCCAATAGGCAGATCAAAGGAACCTGGACTCGATTACTAATTCACTTTTCGGTCTCAATATACGGGTAATGTACAAACGGACGAGAGGCAGGTCTAGCTGTAGGATATGACCGGTCGTTATCTTCGGGTGACACCAAGAACATATGCCAAGGGATATTCGACGAAATTAAAACTCGAGACTACTGTCCACACGACCACTCGTTATGATGCGAACGATTACCGCCTCGACCTCATGCCCTAGTGTCCGGCCAAAACACGATAAACGCGGGAACAAAGGTACCCATCAGCTTCTATCGACATATATTGGTGTCATCAAGATGAAATGGCACGAATGTCCACAGTAATCTCATCATTCTCACTGATCGTACTTGATGTCGCTGCAAGCTTTGTTCAGGCGAGGGTGTGAACGCATGGGGGATTGGGTCCAATGACCCATCCAACCAGCGTTGGACCACTCAAAGAAAAAAAAATCTGAAATCAATGGATATAGATGATTCAATCGAATACCCTTTCTTCTCATCGTTCATCCCCTTGTCGTAGCAATGTCCTTCTGAATTCAAGCATTCGTCTACGAGTTTCTTTTGCCGTATTACATACATTCGAACGCTATTGAGCTGATTTCAAGGTACTATAGCCTGGATG